ATTGGTGGACAATCAAAATTAAATTGAGAATGACTCCATTTTCAATAGCACCAGAAAGAATAAAATAATTGGGAAAAAATTAACAGAAGTTCGAGACTTGTTTTCTAAAAAGTTTAAAATATTGCTGAGAGAACTCAAAGGACAAGTAAATAAATGAAAAGACATTGAATGTTCGTTAATTGATAAAGTTAATATTTTCAAGACAGCAATGCTACTCAATTTGTTCTGTAAATTCAATATAAATCCTATCAGAATCTTAGCAGAACTTTTTGTAGAAATTGATTCTTAAATTAATCCTTATGCTAAGTGAAACAATTATCTAAAAGAAAAACAAGTTGGTATACTCATACTACCTGATTTCAAAACTAACGATAAAGCAACAGTATCAAGACAGTGTAAGAACTTTTAAGAGGTACTTTCCTAGCAACTTTCAAATATGCAACACAATATTATTAACTATTGTCAGCATGTTGTACATTACATCCTCAGGACTTACTTATTTTATAACTAGAGGTTTGTGCCTTTTCACATCCTTCAGTTGATTCCTCCAATTTGTAATACACAACAGTAAATCCTGGAGGAGTTCTACAGAATCCAGATTCAAGTTCAGTAGCAACTGGGGAAACAAATGAAAAGGCAAGAGAAAAGCAGTTATATTCTCAGATTTGGATACTTTATCTTTCACTGAAATTCTAAAACCATTATGAACTTGGGCATCTGGGTGGCTCAGTCAGTTAAAGTCTGTCTGGCTTCAGTTCATTCAGGTCATGATCCTGGGATTGAGTCCCAAGCCAGGTTCCTTGCTGAGCAGGGGAGTCTGCTTCTTCCTCTCTGCCCCTGCTCATGCTCTCTTTCTTCCTCATCCACTCTCTCAAATAAATAAAGAAAAAAATTTAAAAAAAATTAAAAATTATGAACGTCAACAGTTCTATTAAATTAATTAATTAATTAATTAATTTTTTATTGGAGTTCAATTTGCCAACATATAGCATAACACCCAGTGCTCATCCCACCAAGTTCTATTAAATTCTAAATACCTGGGGTGCCTGGGTAGCTCAGTGGGCTAAGGATCTGCCTTCAGCTCAGGTCATGATCTCAGGGTCCTGGAATTGGAGCATTGGGTTTTCTCTCTCTGCTCCTTCCCCTGCTTTTGTGTGTTCTCTCACTCTCTCAAGTAAATAATATCTTTGAAAAAAATAAAATCAAATCTAAATACATGTAAAGATACACAATAAAATACACAACTATTAAATATATTTGAACCGTACTTGGATGCTGAATTATTTAGTAGAGGCACCTACATATCAGGACTGCTGGTTTTCTCATTTCCTACTTTCTTCATTCATTTATTCAACAAATATAGTTTGAGGATATATTGTGTTCCAGGCACTATGACAGGTAATGGAATTATAATGATGAATTAGACACAGTCCTCTCTACAATTTTATCCTACTTGGGAATTGGTAAATAAACAACGATTTCATGTAATCTGACATGCACCGTCGGGGGTTGGTCTAAAGACAGGATATGTCAGGAACACAAAGGAGAGGCATTTCTCTCATTTTCACCATTCTGGCAAAGCTGATACCTGAAGGATGAGGGGAAAGTATACAAAACAGTAGAAAGAAACACACACACACACACTCACACGCACACACACAAATAGGTAAAGGACAACATTTGTGGAATTAGAACTAGTGATCTACTTTTACTGGAGATTTTTAGATGGCAGCCATCGGCCATAGTACTTCTTGATAGCTATTTGGACTTTAAAGTAATTGCTTGACTAAATGCTACTAGAAGACAGTGTCTTTCTGGCCTTATAACAAATGTGACAAGTCAATGATGTCTCATATCCTCAGGCAATAGTTTCAGAGTGCAGGCTGACAGTTTCATAGGGGAGACAGGAGGAAAAGGAAAAGTATAACTAAAAATAAAAAGGCACACATAGTGACTTTTTTTTTAGCTTAAATGCTTTGAAAGATCATGAATAAGGAATAATTATATTTTTCAACACATATTAATGTATTTCATTAGATGTGTATATAACAAAATATTTATAACCCCATGTCTTATTCAGAAATAAAATGGGATGCCACTTACTCCTTACAGTTTATCTTAGAAATCAAAGATATGTAAATTTATTTCCCATATTATCAATATATCTTCTCTTCGAGTCCTACTCCTTCTTAAATAACAGACAAAAATAACTTAATCGTTTTTAAGAGATAACAAATTAGGAATGCTAAATTTTAAAACCATTAGTAGGGCCTAGGAATCAGAAAGTTCCAACATGGGATGCCTGGGTGGCTCTGCAGTTGAGCATCTGGCTCAGGGTGTGATCCCAGATTCCTGGGATCAAGTCCCCCATGGGGCTCCTTGCATGGAGCCTGCTTCTCCTCCCTCTGCTATATTCTTGCCTCTCTTCCTGTGTCTCTCAAATAAATAAATAAAATCTTTAAAAGAAATTCCAACTCTGGCCCTTATTTGACAGTAATAATAAAAATATTGGTCATAAAAACTTTTTTAAAAAACAAATCAAGGGATGCCTGACTGGCTCAGCGGTGGAGCGTCTTCCTTTGGCTCAGGTCTTGATCCCAGGGTCCTGGGATCGAGTCCTGCATCGGGCTCCCTGCAGGGAAACTGCTTCTCTCTCTACTTGTGTCTTAACTTCTCTCTGGGTCTCTCGTGAATAAATAAAATCTTAAAAAATAAAAATCAAAACCAGAAGTGAGACGTAAAGTCTGGGTGGAAGGAGAGCAGTTTATTCACTTCTAGGCCTGAGAGAGAGAAATCCTGATAATGGAGTTTGTGGTGGCTGATGGTTTAGAAAGCACAGTTCAGAAAGTATTACTTTATGTTTTCAAAAGTAATAACAAGACTTATTTTTTATCAAATTTAAACTAAGTTCATAGCCCTTTGAGCATATTTTGACTTTAAATTCAATTGTACTGTTGACTGGCCTTTGAGAAGGGGTGCTACAGTACAAAGAACATGGACTGCTGAACCAGACTGACCTAGGTCAGAAACCCTGCCATGCCACTTGTCAACTATCAGATGGTGCCAAAATCATTTACTCTCCCTGTGTCAGTTTTCTTATGCATAAAGCAGGAATACTTATTTCTAACACAGGGTGTCGTAAACTTAAGTGAAGTAAATATCTAATGTGCTTGGTCTTGTCAAACCCTCAATAAACTTTTGCCAAGTGAAGTAATATTAAACATGTTTGTGATATTTAACGTCAGCTCCTTTGTAGTCCAAAGTCCTTTTTCTGGCTTTGTTTTTAGAATGAAAGAAATGTATTTCTATTTAATTCTTTTGGGGTGGGGTGCCAAAACCTAGAGTAAATTATTCAAAAAAATATTATTTATTTGAGAGAGAGAGAGAGAGAGAGAGAGAGAGAGGAGAAGGATTGCAGGGAGAGGAGCAGAGGGAGAGGGAGAAGGGGAGATCTATGTGGGCTCCATCCCAGGACCCTGAGATCATGACCAGAGCAGAAACCAAGAGGCAGATGCTCAACCAACTGAGCCACCCAGGTGCCCCTAGAATAAAAGTTTTTTTTAAGCAATCCAATAAAAAAGAGAATCAGGGGTCCCCTGGGTGGCTCAGTCATTGAGCGTCTGCCTTCCTCTGATCCCTGCTTAGGTCCTGATCCCTGCTTGGCTGGGAGTCTGCTTCTCCCTCTCTGTCTCTGCCCCTCCTCCTGTTCGTGCTCTCTCTCTCAAATAAAATAAATAAAAATCCTTAATAGTAAAAAAAAAAAAAATACAGGCAATGTATTTTTTTCCCCCCTTCTTACACAACAAATTTATTTTTTCGCAGTTCTGGAGCATGTAAGTCCAACATCAAGCTGCCGGCAGGTTTGGTCTCTTCCGAGGCCACTCCGCTTGGCTTGTAGATGGACATCTGCAGGTCTTCCCGGCGTGCCTGTGTTCTAATCTCCTTTCCTCATAAGCACACTCCTCACAGCTAATGACTTCATTTTAACTTAGTTATCTCTTTAACCCTATCCCCAAAGACAGTCCCATCCTGACGTACTGGGAATTGGGACTTCAAGGCATGAATCTTGAGGGGATTAAATTCAGTCCCTCCCTTTGCCCTGCAACCGTTTTAGCAAGGGCCGTGGCTCTCCCCCACTTCAAGATGACTCTATTTAGTTTTAGGGGGTAGTAGATTAACCATTGCGTTTTATTTTAAATATTTTATTTATTTATTTATCTATTTATTTATTTATTTATCTATTTATTTATCTATTTATTTATTTATTTATCTATCTATTTATTTATCTATCTATCTATTTATTTATTATTTTATCTATCTATCTATCTATCTATCTATCTATCTATCTATCTATCTATCTATCTATCTATCTATCTATCTATCTATCTATCTATTTGAGAGACAGAGAGAGAGAGGAGCAGAAGCAGGCTCCCTGCAGGGAGCCCGATGTGGGACTCGATCCCCGGTGTCCAGGATCAGGCCCTGGGCTGCAGGCGGCGCTAAACCGCTGAGCCACCCGGGCTGCCCCAACCGCTACGTTTTAATTACTCAGAAACGACCGTGCTACGCAAGCCCCGCATGAGCCCTGTCACTCCCCGGGGCCCGTGCAGCCGGGCAGAGGCTTGCTAGCGCGGGCAGGGGAGGACTGCGCGGTCCGCTGGCAAGGGACGCGGTGTGCGGGCGGCCTGCCCAGACGGCGAGGCTCCCCGGGCCGAGGCGGGTGAAGATCTGTCGGCGGCCGACGGCTTCTCTGCCCACATTCCGAGGAGAAAACGAGCCGGTGCCGGGGCGAGGGGCTCGCTCTCGGGATCCTGAGCGGCACCCGAGCCCCCAGCGCGCACTGCCCCGCCCCCCCGCGCGCACGCGCACGCGCACGCGCACGCGCACGCGCCGCTGCGGAGCTCCTCGCGGAAAAGCCTGCGGGTACCCGAGGCGGCTGCGTCGTCAGCGCGTCCCGCGGGGAGAGGGCCTCGCCGGGCTCACGTCACTCGTGTGCGACGTCGCCGGCGCCACACACCATGCTGTCCGCCGGGCGGCGAGGTCCGGCCTTCCTGCGGCTGCGGCGCCTCAGGAGGTGGCTGGGGCGCGGGGCTCCTCCGGCCCTGCGCGGCCTTGGGCAAGAGCCCCTGGAGACAGCGCGGGCGCTGTGCGGCGAATCCTGGGCTGCGCCCGAGCTGGACGGGGAGCGACGACGCGAAGCGCCACGGAGGAAGGCTCCCGGCGTGGAGTCGCCCCCGAGTCTCGGTCCGCGCGCGCGAGGCCCCGGGATCGGATGTCTTTCCTCAGGGGAAAGCCTCGGACTGCCGACGCCGCAGGAGGAGCCACCCTCCCGGGAGCGCGAGGACTCGCGCGGGGGCGCGCCCCCTCCGGCCCAGGCCGTGCCCCAGGTCGAAGGGCCCTTTCGCGTCGGGGAGCTCATCTTGGCGGAGACTGGGAAGCGGGAAACACAGTTTAGGAAATTATTCAGGCTGAGTGACGCCGGACACTTAACTGGTAGCTGGGGAGCGGTCCCGTTCAGCGAGATCGTGGGGCGGTTTCCCGGCCAGATGCTGAGGAGCTCCTCTGGGAAGCACTTCACGCTGAGGAGGCCGGCTTTGGAGGACTACGTACTGCTGATGGAAAGAGGCCCGGCCATAACGTACCCTAAGGTAAAGCTACCTCACCTTAGGGAACTAGCTACGGACTGGCTCCGGAGCCGAACGGCAGTCTGCAGCGCGTCTCAGAACGTTTACGGTTCTTACTGCTCTCGGACTTAAAAAACAAACACAGTGCATGTGAGTTTTTACGTGCTTTGTGATTGCTGATTTTAGGAGGGAAGAGCCACCTCTCATTTTTAATTTGGGAGCGTAGATTCTCTCATCTGTAAAGCGAAGACACTGTTGACCTGCTGCATAGAGTTATGTGGAGCAACTAGGCACGTGAGTGCTCCCCATGTGTTTGTTCCCCATAACCCTTAAGTTTGCAAATTAAGGACTGGAGGATGTTCAACTCTCTTGGTACCGTTATGGAGATATTCTCATCATCGTTTAATAATAAGGCATGTTACTAGGGCTATATTTTATCAATGATAGATATGTTACTATGCTTTAATCTTTAGGGGAAAAATAGAGTTTTGTATTAAAACAGCTAACAAAAAAGAAAAAGCTAACATTAAACACTAAGCATAAGAGAATTCTTTATTATAAATTAACTGCCTAGTTCTTGTTACTACTTTATACTAATTGTCCACTGCTAGTGGTTTATTTCACTTCTTAATCATAGTCAAGGTCCTTGAGTAGAGTGTTCCTTTGTAATTGTAACAACTCCTTCTGTCCCCGGATGAGGAGTCGTTCATCATTTATTCAGCAAATAACTGCCTGTCCTCTATATTCAGGGGAGGTATGGTGATGAGCCACAGTCCTCACTCACTCTCTCTCTCTCTCTCTCTCTCTCTCTCTCTTTTTTTTTAAAGATTTTATTTATTTATTCATGAGAGACACAGAGAGAGAGAGGCAGAGACACAGGCAGGGAGAAGCAGGCTCTGTGCAGGGAGCCCAACGTGGGACTTGATCCCAGGTCTCCAGGATCACGCCCTGGGCTGAAGGCGGCGCTAAACCACTGAGCCACCGAGGCTGCCCCCATTCCTCACTCTCAACCTAGATGTTACACCCTAGAGAGGATGACAGACAACACACAAGTAAATGAAAGAATAATTTCAGGTAGTGCTAAGTGCCGGGAAGACAAATAGATTCATAAAGACAAATAGGTTAACAACAACATGCTGGGTGACCTGGGGGAGAATACTTTGTCAGATGGTTAGAGAAGGTGTCAAAAGAGAGATACTACCTTTCATAGGAAACCTAATTAAGGAAAAGCCAGCCATGCAAAGATCCAGGAGCCCAGTATTGTCGCACAGGGAAGAGTAGTGCAGATATCCTATTAGGGCCTGAGTGAGGTGAGGGAGAGAGTGGTATAAGATGTGGTTATTCCATGTGCCTTGGGGCCTTGGAATGTTCTAAGTGGGAATCCAATTTATATTTTACGAGGTCCACCTAGGAACCAAGAAAACCTTTTTGGAGACATTAGACCAATGGGGTATCATAAACTCTTGACGGAAACTTTTATCTTTTCTGACTGTTCAGTCTAGCCACAAAAAAAATTTTTTTTTTTTTTTGTAATTTCATCTTGCTTCCCCACATCTTTTTCCTCCCACTAGACAAAACTGTAAGAGAATAGTTATATTTTATAAAGTTATAAAGATAAATCTTTAGTCCACTTTCTGCCTTTCCATTTGTCACAGATAAAAGTCCTAGTGCTCCATCCTAAGGAGGAATTTAAATACTGGATATGATAACTGTTGATTTCTTTTTTCATTTCCCAAATGGTGGCTGCAGGAACTTTGACTTCAACCTTTACAACTTTGAAGTGCTTTTTAAGGGAATACCTCAATTGATTTGAAAGCTGGTCTCCGTGTTAGAATTACATAGTTTGTCTTAACAGTAAAAGTGGGTCTGTGGGATAATTTTATTTTATTTGTTTTTTTGTGGGAGTGATTTTAAATAAACTTCCTAACAGTTACTTGTGAAGAGTTGATATTTCACATTGGTCAGTATCAAGCACTTTTAGGTTTGGAGTAGAAATATAAAATGGAAAACACTCCCCCAATTTTTATTTTTTAGTTTTTTAAAAGGTTTTATTTATTTTAAGAGAGAGAGAGCAGGGGGCAGAGGACTCTGTGCTGAGTGTGGAGCCTGACTTGGGGCTTGATCTCACGATCCTGAGATCATGCCCTGGGCTGAAACCAAGAGTCAGATGCTTAAACAACAGCCACTCAGGTGCTCCCACTCTCCAATTTTTAAATCAATCTTTTCTGCTGATGTCCATGATTGTAGCACTTATAGAAGAACAACTGGGCAGTAGAAATTGTTGCAATTTAATGAACCCTAAAGTGCAGCCCACTTATCAAAACTTAGGGTGAGGATTAGATTTATATTAGTGTATTAATCTGGAAAGAGATTGGAATTCATGTTGAGAAAAAAATGTAAGTTTGAAAGGGTTGTTCTTTCATGAGGTTCTAAAATGTGCAGAAAACTCAATAGTAGAATGATAGTCATAACTTTGGAGGACTCTCCCCATAGCTTTAAATCCCTTTTGGGAAGAGGCAGGGAAATGAATTAAGTGCTAATGTCACACTCCAGTTTTGAACTGAAATTGCTAGGATGTATATAGTGATATCCAATCTAGAAAACTCATCCCCTTGAGACCATCTAACATAAATGGCAGGAAGCAAAAGCTAAAGCGTGCTAAAGTTTTTTATTTCATGATAGTAAGATTTTTTATCTTATGTGAATAATTCAAGAAAATAGAACTGCCTTCTGCAGGACATTTCAGTGATATGACTACTGAAGCTGCTTCCACTTCTGTATGAAGTTGTACTCCCTGCTCTACCCTCAGGTGCCTGGCATGTAGGAGAGGATATGTATGTGTGCAAGACTCAGCATTTGTGAACGAAACTTTTGGACTAATACAGCTTAAAAGTTGTGTGTCTGTGCATCATCCGGTCCAAGCCTTAGTCCTGCATTTCAGAAATACATTTTGGTTTCTAATTAGACAACTGTACCTGTTAAAATTCTTGTGCAATGAAACTTATATTTAATATAGAAGTTTCCGTGACTTGAAAGGGTTCTAGAAACCCTCCTCTTGAAGAATTTTCACAACAGCTTTTCCCAAAGAAGGAAAAGCTAGTAAAAACTTCCTAGATGTGCTGCTTATTTCTTAGCAGCTTTGAAAGGTTGGTTGCGGAGTGTTGAAATAAATCCTAATGTTAAAAATTCTCTGTATCACATGTGGTATGGTATAATGATCAACATCGTGGTCTTTTTGCGTTCGACATCTGTTCTTTTTCTGACTTGCCCACTTAATTCCTGGCTTTGTGACTTTGGGGAAATTACTTAACCTCTTTGATTTGTCTATATAATGGGAGTGATGATACTTTTCTTATATTATTATCCTGATTAAACAAGACTATGAAAGCAATTTGCATATTTAACCCCGGCACATACATGATAAAGTTTCAATAAATAGCCCTTATTACTATCATCCATGATATTCCTGTTAACAATTCTTTAATTATAGCATTTGTGAAATAGGTCCTCCTATATATTACTGGTATCCTAATACTAAATAAGAAGTTCATTTCCTTTCATGCAGAGATTATGTAATAACTTCCTAACTGGTCTTCCACTGGCCTCTAATTTTTCTCTTCCCTAGTATATCCTGCATTTCCCTGTCAGATTAATCTTCATAAAATGCCATTTATTACCTTTGTGACATGCTCCAGTTACTGACCAGGTCAAATTCAAATGCTTTAGCCTGACATTCAGTTTTCTCCTTTTCTCTTCTTCTGAGATGGGCAGACTGTGCTTATTGTACCTCTTTTGTTTAACACTGTTTCTACTTCGTGGTTTTTTTTTTTAAGATTTTATTTATTTATTCATGAGAGAGGCAGAGACACAGGCAGAGGGAGAAGCAGGCTCCATGCAGGGAGTCTGATGCGGGACTGGATCCCAGGACTCCAGGATCAGGCCCTGGGCTGAACGAAGGCGCTAAACTGCTGAGCCACCCAGGGATCCTGTACTTCATGATTTTTTCCTTAAATTCTCTGTCTTTAAGTTCAGGCCTTCTGCTGATATCTCTATTCTCTGAACTATTGCTACTTATTGTCTATAATTTTGGTATTTTGCTGTAGTGCTGCTTTGCTAATTGATTCTTGAATCTCTTATTTCACCAAGTAAAAGATCAACTCTTGGTAGGGCAGGCCAGATTTTAATCCTTTTTTTTTTCATTCGTTTCTTCTCCAACTCCAATGTAGTGTTTGATAAGAGTCTGTACTTAGTACATATTTATTGGTCACTGAGTCACCCATACTCTCTTTCAATCATAGGATATGAGTATGATACTGTTGATGATGGATATCCACCCAGGTGATACTGTTTTGGAAGCTGGCTCAGGCTCTGGTGGAATGAGCTTATTTTTATCCAAAGCAGGTAAGAGATTGGGAGAAATGAGCTGAATTTAGATGAGCAAAGAAAACACTCATAACAACAGAAAGTTAAGTGGATAAAGATGTTTTAGAAAATATTTACATAACTTTGTGATAGAGAGCATTCTCCTTGAAATCAAATGCAAGCAACTATTTATCCACCTTGTACGTTTATTCTAGTCATTCTCTCTATCCATCTCTCCGTTTTCGGTGCTTTCTCTTGCTCCCTCCAGGTTTTTTAAAGCTGCTTCTTCTTCTTCTTCTTTCTTCTTTCTTCTTCCTCCTCCTTCTTTTTCTTCCTCCTCCTTCTTTCTTCTTCCTCCTCCTTCTTCTTTCTTCTTTCTTCTTCTTCTTCTTCTTCTTCTTCTTCTTCTTTCTTCTTCTTTCTTCTTCTTTCTTCTTCTTCTTCTTCTTCTTCTTCTTTTTAAGCTAAACTTATTTGGACCTAACACAGCTATAGTTCACAGATCATAAATATTTAGACCTCAGAGAATTTTTAACATAGTGACTGTACTCAAGTAGTTATCACCCAGATCAAGACAGGGAATATTGTTGCTTTACAGAAACCTCCTCATTCTCCTTAGTCATAATCCTCCCCAAAGATAACCACTATTTTGCCTTTTATCATCATTGATTAGTTTTGCCTTCTTTGAACACTGTATAAAAGGAACATACAGTATGTAACTTTTGAATGTGGCTCCTTTCATTCAAAATTCTGTTTGTGAGAGTCAGCTATTGCATATAACAGTAGTTCTTTCATTTTAGTGGCTGTGTAGGTACTCCATTTTGTAAACAAATCACAGCTTATCCATTCTGTTAGTGGGCATTTGAGTTGAATATTATGAACAGTGCTGCTCTGAACATTCTTATATTTGTTTTTTGGTGCATATGTGTGCATATTTTTGTTAATAATAATTCCAGATGAATATTCAGTATGAGAGAAATAGAAGGTAGAGGGTGGTCAGCTGCTGGGAAAGAATCATATACTATTAAGGGCAAAGAATGATAGTTGGTGTTTATAAATAATCATAACAGAACTATTAAAGCTAGATCATGTAGAGTCTTCCTTTCTTTAAGAAAGTCTCAAAATTGTCAGTTGGTAAAAGTCTTGCTTGATTGAGGGTAGCACCTGATCAAAAATCAAGAGATGAACAGTAAACATAAATATCTGTTCATGTTCCCATCACTTGATTTCTGGTTACTTTTAATTTATTATTGCTCTCTTCCTTTGCCTACTTAATTCCTCTATGTGTTAAGGTTGCTTTGGCTGCTCTGGCTGCCTGTGGAATTGTCCTTCCTCAGCTAATGATAGACTGCTGAATAGTGACTGCACTCTCTTTGGGTACATTTTTTTTTTCTTTTTGGATCATATTGTTCTTTATTAGTGCATTATTTCTTAAATAATCAGCTTTGCTAGAGCTGTTGTATGTGTATATGGGTAGATTTTATAAAGAATACAAATAGAAGTATACCGAACTGAACTTAAACCTTTTGTTCTTTCACCTAATGCCATCACATACAAACATAATCCAGTTTATGCTAGGTCAGAAATTCATTCTGGCCTCCTCAAATCTTTTTTTTTTTTTTCTTGAGTCTTTTCTGTACGTAGTTAAAGACAGTCATTTCTTCACAATCAATGACTGAATCCTAAAAACATTTAACAGAGTGAATTTATAAAAATTTGTGTGAGCAGACAAGTGCCCATATTTCTAATATCTATAGTATCAGTGGTGTCATGGCATGAATAGTCCCACACTATGAGTGATCAAGAAATTATTGCTATTTACCTTTGGGATGGATTTTTTTTCTCCATAATTTTCTTTTCCAATTATTTAGCTTATGCTATTGTTAACATTAATTTCTCTGCCTTGAGAACACGGTGAATTGAAGCTGGAGTTATATTTCAAAAGACATCCTAGAATTTAAACTTTTCATGAGTAAATTATAGATTTATTGATCTAGGACAGCTCCCAAATGATATCAAATCACCTCAAATAGAGGTGGCTGGAGAATTAATTGCCTTTAACTAAAATGCAAGTAGTCTTTTTTTTTTCTTTTTTTAAAGATTTTATTTATTTATTCATGAGAGACACAGAGAGAGAGAGGCAGAGACACAGGCAGAGGGAGCAGGCTCCATACAGGGAGCCTGACATGGGACTCAATCCCAGGTCTCCAGGATCATGCCCTGGGCTGAAGGCGGCACTAAACCACTGAGCCACCAGGGCTGCCCTGTAAGTAGTCTTCTGTAGAAACTGCACTATTACTATGCTAAACAGTTTTCTTTAGGCATATACAAAAATACAAATATCTTTTAAATATATGAAATGACTAACTTCATCCGTAACAAAAGAAATGTAAATTACAACTAAATGATAAACTATTTTCAGTTTTTAGATTGACAGAGATAAAAAGTTTGAAAACTCTTTGTTGGAGAAAGTATGGAGAAATAGGTGCTTTACTACTTTGTTGGTAGAGTGTAAATTGGTATTATTCTTTGGGAGGAGAATTTGGTAATAATTTTCAAAATAAAAAATTCACATACCTCTTGAACTGGTAATTTCATTTTAAAGACTTTGTCTTTTCATTGATAAAAAGGTTTAGGCAACATAATTTTCATTGCAATATTGTTTAAGACTAAAAACAAGCTAAATGTTCATCCGTAGGTGACTGGTTAAATAAACTATGGCATAGCCATACAATGGAACATAATAGGTCTTAAAAAGAACATAGTAGATCATTAATCACTGAAGTAACATTAGTAAGTATAAGGAAAGTGTATGGGATAGTATATATAACACATGTATGTTTTAAAGTATGTTAAAAATAGGGAGAGACACTTTGCACATTTATATAGGCACCAACTATCTTGTGAAGGGTAAATAACTGGTGATATGGTTGCCTCTGAAGAGGAAGATTGATTAAGGATCTGGGATGGGATAGTTTTGTAACCCTGAAGTATTTGAATTATTTTTTCACATCAGTGTAATACCTTTGTGTTATAGTTTTTTACATTCTTTTATGAAATGAATCAATAAAATATCATAAATTCTTTTAATTAAGTTGGATCACAAGGACGAGTCATAAGCTTTGAAATACGAAAAGACCACCATGAATTGGCTAAGAAGAATTACAAAAATTGGTGTGATTCATGGAAAATGAGTCATGTAGAAGAGTGGCCAGACAATGTGAATTTTATTCATAAGGATATTTCAGGAGCAACTGAAGATGTAAAATCTTTAATATTTGATGCGGTAAGTTTTCTAAAGTGGGTCCTATGATATTATCTAATAGTGACTACATAGAAAACAAGGATTGCACTTCTTTTGTATGGAAAAGGCTCTTCCTTCATTATTTGCCGTGTTTCTATTTGTAGAAGTAGGGAGGAATATTTTCCTTTAATATTATGGTAGAATTTAGAGCAGATAGACATATTGAATCAGGTGCCAAAGCTGTTACTAAGTCTGGAGTAATGACCAGATAGTAAGAGGAGTAGTTGAACATCATGAACCTCACCATTTCTAGGATAAAGGAATAATAATTTAGGAGCAGCATTGGGAGCATATTGATTGATCCCAGAGCCTGACCTCACGTTGTGAGATTTGGAGGAATAAATGGCCCTCATTTGTGAGGGAACAGGCAACAGGCATCTTAAGACAATTAACATGAAGATGTCGATGAGTGTTCATTTAAAATATTGAGGTCAGAGGCATTTACTATGAACATAGCTTCAGAAAGTGGAGTAGATGGATTTGTGAGGTGCAGGAATGGTGAAAGATTGAGCTGGGGAGAAGAAGCAGAGAAATATGAAGATAAAAGGATAGACGATGAAGGGATATTTTAGGCTGTGACCAGCGATGGTAGAGATATGGGACATGGAGGTATTAGTTGGCTTCAGAGTTTCAGAATTCTAGTGTAAGTTACACTTATCCTTGATGATTTCATTATCATTTCATAGCTTGGCACTACAGACTGAGGTCTAGGTTGTCTTTGCTTTTTTAAATTGGCTGTTTGGAAAGTTGAATTACTTTAGGACATTTATGAGGGAAACTAGTTGAAAAATGAAGAAAGAGGAGACTTTTTTAAAATCAGGACTGGTTCCCATCTCTAATATTAAAGTCTGTAGTTTTGGTGACACAGATTCCTGGACACAAAGACCACAGTTCTTTTTCCTTATCCTTGTTTGGCTTGCATATTACAGCTCAGTAAGGGCCAGAAGAAAAGAAATTTTTCTACATAGGCTATCCATAAGACTGTTAGAATGTTACAGATACCTGAGAGGTTAATAAGAGATCATCTGAAATTTGCTGGATGATCATGAAGGACAAAAGAGGATTTTAATGATATTGTTGAAGCTTTGTAGAAACCTGCTGAATCATCCCTGATCTAAAAGAAAGAATGTGGGCGGGCGGGTATCTCAGCGGTTTAGCGCCACCTTCAGCCCAGGGCGTAATCCTGGAGACCCAGGATTGAGTCCTGTGTTGGGCTCCCTTGTATGGAGCCTGCTTTTCCCTCTGCCTGTGTGTCTGCCTCTCTCTCTCTGTGTGTGTCTCATGAATAAATAAATAAGATCTTTAAAACAATTAAAAGAATGTTCCTTACTAGATTTATTTGGGTGAACTCTCTTGAGTAATAGTGCCAAATAGTTACACATGGTTCTCAGTATGAGAAAATATAGGAGGATCCATACCCCTGCAATCCAAAATGATGGTGAACATAAAAGGTATTAAACCACAAAGGAGAACAAAAGGAGAAAAAAATGGCTAATAAAATATTTTTAACAAATTTTTAAAAGCCTAACCATCAGAAGATGAATGGACACAATGGAATACTAAAAATAGTATTATTTAACATAGTGAAATAAATGTACTGTATTTACATCAGTAAATCTCAAAGACATGGTGCTTAGTGGAAAAAAGTATTATAAAAGAGTATGTATGGAATGGCCATATATATCTAAAATTTAAAACTATGCAAAACAGTACCATGGTACTGTTTATAGCTATATACATATGTCATAAAAGTATAAATTATTTGGGAACATTACCAACTTCAGGACAGTGATTATCTGAGGAGAGAAAGGGAGAGGGGAAGAGGGAACTAAGTTTTGTGGTCCATTCAGCCTGGTTCCCATATAGCCAAGAAGATCTTGGATAAGTTACTTAAACTTTCTGTGCCCAGGCCCCTCACATATTAAACAGGAATGATGATAATATTTCATATTTCATAGAGGTGTTGAGGATTAAATAAGATATTTCATAAAAAGTGCATAGAACAGTACCTGGTATATAGTAAGCATTAAAGAAATATTAGCTATGATTTTCATCATTATTTCCTTCCTTCTCTCTGTTTAAATTCTATTTTCTCTTTAAAAGTTTAGATCAAAGGTCATGATCTCTTTCATGAAATGTACCTTATTCATCTACCTGCTGGATTATCATCTTTCTCTGAATTATTGAACTACTGTTTCTAATTCAATAAGCAATTATTAAAGACCTGCCATGTGCCATGTACTATGCTAAGACCAAAGTGAATTTATACATTTAGCATTCTAGAAGATAGACATATAAACAATTACTGGAAAGACTCAGAAGCGTGGAACACCATGGCTGTAGAAATTGGGTATCATGAGATGAAGCTGTAAATGCAGTCTTAATGGTCTAGATAATGAAGAATACTTGTATGTATATTAAGCTAAGGCATAGAGACATTCATTATCTTACAGATAATGGGAACTATTGATGAGTTCCTAAGTTGGGGAGCAGAATGTTTTAGATTCCTGTTTTAGATTCTTAGCAGATTCCTATTTTAAAGTAATTTTTTTTTAATTCCACTATCGTTAACATACCACAATTCATTTCAGGTATACAATGTAGTGATTCAGCAATTCCAAATGTTACTCAGTACTCCTCAAGATAAGTATATTCTTCCATTTTAGAGTAATTCTGGTGGAAGAATGAGGCTGAGTCTATGTAGAAAGCTATTGTAATGTTACAACAGGATACAGTGAGGTTCTGATCTAAGGCATTAACAGCCCGATGAATTTGAGAAATGCCAAATAGATAAGATTTCTGGGGCTGGATAATTTTCCAGACAGAAACATCAAAACCCCAATGATTCTCAAAAGAGAATTTGAGGTAAAGAAAATGATGACCACAACAAGTGAGGTTTGAGTGACTGGATGAACGGAAATGTTGAGAATATTCAAGAGGATTGGCAGGTTTCTTGGTTATCTGATTTGTGGTCCTCATCAATAACATAGGCAAACTCTGTAGTTACAGCCAAAGAAGCCCATTTATGTTTATCATGTTAACCCTTGGATTCAGTCATTGAGATCTTTCCTTGAGATCTGATAAGCATTTTAAACTCCTGTCCAAACCTGAATTCTTGATTATTTCTGCTAAGCCTGCCCCTCCCATAGTCTTTACCATTTCCCTCATTCTTTCAGTGGCTTAGGCTATAAAAACACTGGATTCATCCTGACTCCTCTTTCTCTTTATCCTACAACCAATCCTAATTCTAATTGGTTCTACCTTTTCAAAATATATACCACTTATCATCACATCCAGTGCTGTTTGCTATACCAGGTCACCATCATCCTTCCTCGCCTTCTCTCAGTCTTTTCTTTGTTTAGATCTAAAAATTAAGTCAGAATGTACTTAATGCCACTGAATTGTACACTCAGAATTCATTTCTTGTTACAATTTTCCCCCTTTTGTCTCCACTGCAGCGACAGTGGCCTTCTCAGACTCACCAAGTATCCTACAACCTCAGAGTATTTGTATTTGCTGTTCTGTCCATCTGGAGTATACTTCCCCCCTAAATTTCTACAGGGTAAGCTTAATCATCATCTTCAGGTCTTTTCACTGACTAGCCTATGTATAAAATAGCACTTCCTTCCATTAGTCTCTATCCCTCATATTCTGTTTTATAATTCTATACTTGATGTCACTTATCCTCCGGTGACTTACATACTTCTTGGATTTTTGTTTAATGGCTGTCCCTTCTTTAGAATATATGTTCCCTTGAAACAAAATGGAATGAAAGCTCCTGTTACATCCTTACTACTTAGCAAAATGCTTGGCACATGGAAGGTGCTCAGTAAATATTTGGTGAATGAATTAATAATGAATGATTACTCATTAATACTATTTTTAAAAACAAATAATGGAATAATTTCTAATTTAGTAATATGTTGATGTGCCAACTACTCTTAGCTTTTCAGAGTTATCCATCAATAAAAGCAACTTTACTTTCTATTTTGGGCATATTTATTTTTGTTTTAAATTAATTAAAAAAAATTTCACATACTCATTGTATTCATTTGACATCTTTGTGAATACACAGCCTGTATTCTGCAATTGGATGAAGAATAAAGAACTAAAGGTCAGGATTCTTGCATTTTAGAATCTCTCAAATTAATAACTTTCCTTTTGAACATAAAAATATATATTTGAAAAATTTGAATTTCTGTTGCCAAAAGCTGAACTCTATCATTAAAATTTTATATATATGTATGCATTTGTGTATATTAGATGTAGCTGTAGAAAGATTCCTGTAGTGTTGATATTGCCAAGTGCACGACAAACCATTATGATTTTCATGTAGTCAAGTACTGTGACATTTTGTATAATAATAAATACATCTTTTTGAGAGAGCAAAATGATGGTTAATAGTATTAGAGTTTAAAAATGAGAACTTTAACTGGGTAATTGCTTTCTAAAAGTTTTATAATAGTAAGAAAGAAGACCTGTGCTTTGTCTAAACAAAACTCTGATTTGCTTCCCCCTGACAGGTAGTTTTGGACATGTTGAATCCTCAAGTTGCTTTGCCTGTTTTATACCCAAATCTTAAACAGGGCGGTGTGTGTGCTGTATATCTAGCAAAGTGAGTAATGTGGCTATTTTTCTTTGTAATGTGATTTTAAACATACTTTTATTTTGACTTAAGGACTTGGCTACAGTGTTCATTTTATAATCGAATTAGGTGTATATGTCAATTTGTAAAACTTAAGAACCAATATATATCACAACAAATTTATATTGCTGTTTAAACCACTCTTTACCTGAATGATAAGATGGACGTTTCTTCTGACAGTTCAGAAGAAAAGTTTTAAAAGTATAATTTGAACAGTAATGTAAAATCATAGTTTCTGCATTTTTTTACTTAGTATTCTATGAAATTGCATATTATGTGCTCGAACTTGCATGCATATTTTTCCCCCTTGGTTTAACTATAGCATTTAAATTTGGGTTAAGAGGGCAGCCCTGGTGGCTCAGCAGTTTAGCATTGCCTTCAGCCCAGGGTGTGATCCTGGAGACCCGGGATCGAGTCCCACGTTGGGCTCCCAGCATAGAGCCTGTATCTCCCTCTGCCTGTGTCTCTGCCTCTCTCTCTCTCTCTGTATGACTATCGTAAATAAAATTTAAAAAAAAATTTTTTTTTAAAAAAAAGATTTTATTTATTTATTCACGAGATACACAGAGAGAGAGAGAGAGAGGCAGAGACACAGGCAGAGGGAGAAGCAGGCTCCATGCACCGGGAGCCCGACGTGGGATTCGATCCCGGGTCTCCAGGATCGCGCCCTGGGCCAAAGGCAGGCGCCAAACCACTGCACCACCCAGGGATCCCTAAATAAATAAAATCTTTTAAAAAAATAAATAAAATAAATTTGGGTTGAGAGGTATAGTGAACTTAAGTATCAAGTTATTATTGTAGTAGAAATTTAAAGTACTTTTTTTCACTTTTTCTAAAAGCATCACACAGGTTATTGAACTGTTAGATGGAATTCGCATCTGTGAACTTGCTCTCTCATGTGAAAAGATAAGTGAAGTCATTGTCAGAGATTGGTTGGTTTGCCTTGCAAAACAGAAAAATGGAATTTTAGCTCAAAAAGTAGAACCTAAAATCAACACAGATTTACAATTACATTCTCAAAAGAAAATTAGAATTGAAGGTGAGATGTTTCAAGAGGATGACCATGGTGAGTTTCAATTTTATTTCATATGTGTTTGCAATAATAAATGGAGAATAGCTTCGTGAGTGTATTGAACAATGATTATAAAACTATTTCTCAGGGATTTTTTTTTTTTAAAGGAAGATCTTTATTTTTTTTTTTAATTTTTATTTATTTATGATAGTCACAGAGAGAGAGAGAGGCGCAGAGACACAGGCAGAGGGAGAAGCAGGCTCCATGCACCGGGAGCCGGATGTGGGATTCGATCCTGGGTCTCCAGGATTGCGCCCTGGGCCAAAGGCAGGCGCCAAACCACTGCGCCACCCAGGGATCCCATTTCTCAGGGATTTGTTCTCTTTTCTTAGAGATATTGAAATATGGTATTTCTTCTGTGAAATTAAAATCTCTAAAGGACAGAATAATGACTTTTTTTGCCTTTTATGTAAAAGTTTGATACCTTTGAAGAATTGAGCTTTGTATGATATTCATATTTTGCTTGTATCAAAGCAGTTGGCTTATGTAATACTTTAAATATATTACAGGATGTTTTAAATTTAGGTCAGTGATTATTACTGAAGGGAAAGAATTTAATAGGACTTGATATGCAAATAGCTAATATTCTAAAAAGCAACTGGAATTCCTCAGAGAACTAAATTTAGGTCCTTGTTGTACTCATTATTTAGGATATGAACAAGTTTTCAAATATCCATTAATTGATGATATATGGGCTTATCCATTTAGTTATAAAACCATATATGTTTATCATTTAATCCTTGACAAATTGTTTCTGTAAGATAACTGGCAGAGTAGTTTCAAAACAAATGCTGAAAAAATGAGTTCTGAGAGAAAACCATAAAGGGGCAGTAATTTGTATTTTAACAGTTTTGTCAACAAATTATAAAATATTTTATGTAGCTTATAATATATATTTTGTTCTACAACAGAAGAATCACATTCTGATTTTCCATATGGATCATCATCTCCTTATATTGCTAGACCTATACACTGGCAAACTGGTCATACAGGTGAGTGATGTTTTCAGGCCATAGTAAGTGATGTTTTTTTCTGGTTATTGTAATAACTTTACCTTTTTCTTTCCTTAAATTAGCTTTTCTTGTCAAGCTGAGGAAGTTTAAACCACAACCCGAGTAGTACCTCAGCAACTGATTGGAAGGTGAAAAAATATCAAAACAGAACTTTATATTGTGAATCACTACTTCCATGGATTGGAATTGTTAGCTATTACTATGATTTGTATAATTTTTATGTATAATTTTGAAAAATAATAAAAGCTAAAGGAAGATGTGTAACATTTCAAAACTGTTTAAATGTCTCATTTTGACACTTGTCTTGTAGTTATTTTGACATGTTGTAGTTAACGATTCCAAATTGGTTTAGTTGAGCCATCTCACTCTTCACTTCCTGTAAACCACTCCATAGATTTGTCTTTCTTCATAAAATTAGTTTTCTTTTCTTTGTTTGATTGATGGTCATTGGCTACCAAAATAAAAAATGATTTTAAGACAAATTTTATATATCTGTTTACATATTTTAATGGCTTGTATGTATCTTAAGAAGTAAAGCAATCTGGATTATAGTAAATAATACGAAGAAAACTGATAATGATATAACCATCTTAAAAATTACAACAAAAGGTGTAATTCTTGAATCTCTTTTATCCTTCTCAGAATCATTTTAACTAATTTGAAAGAATATCAGAATTAGAGGTTTATTCATAGGCACCAATTACTTAGCATCTACCCTACATTGTTTTAAGAACTTATTATAATGTTTTTTCAGTTAATATGTATACCTCATCTTTAAGGTTATCCATATTTTACAGATAAACAAAAACTTAAGAGTAGTTATTGTTTAAATAGATGTTTTATAGGTTTTAAAGGGTTATACCTGGGAGAATAAATGCTGCTATTCCTGAGTTTCTCTCTTAGGCTAGAGCCATTTAAAATAATATATATATTGTAAATAACACTTTACATATTTTTCAGTATGTGGAAACTTTTAACATAAAATCTCTGCCTTTTTATACTATCATCTAAAAAAAAAGTCTAATTAGACTTTGAGTTATAACACAAATAGAAAACTAAAATTGTTATGAATGCTCCAAAGAAGTACAGAGTAATATAATCCAGGGTTTTACTTTGGTTAAGTAATTACCTATGCAAGTGACAATTGAGCTGTGATCTGAGTGCTAAGTAGAAGTTGATTATATAAGGGAAAATGAGAACAAAAAAGGCCAGTGATGCTGGGGTTGAGTGAAAGACTGGAAAAATAGGTAGGGGTCAGGCCATGCAGGATCTTATAGACCTCTTAAGGAGTTTGTCTATCCTAAGTAAAATAGGGTCTCACTAAAGGATTTAGTGAAGTGAGGGGTAACATGTCCAGATCTGTGTTTTGAAAAAAAAAAAAAAAATCACTCTGGTTGCATTTTTAAGAACTGATGGAATCACAAGCAGAGTAGTCTTCTGGTGTCCTTTTTCTTAATGGTAACTATCTGAACACTCTTATAGTAATAATGGTTTTATTTTTCATAACATTGCCAGATATATAGAAGCTCTGAAGTACATTTTTAAGTTCTGTCCAGAACTACTACTCTTTCTTCTGCTGTTCTATTTAACCAATAGTAAAATACTGTCCTTCATGTATCGTTGTGAATGCAAGCTCTAATTGTATTACTTGGAAAAAGAGCTGGTTTAAGAGCAAAGAAAAGTTGTACCTTCTACTCCTGTTTGTTTCTTTTTTTTTTTTTTTTTTTTTTTTTTTTAGTAGGCACCATGCTAGTAGGCATGGAGCCAAATAGGAGTCCTGAATTCAGGACCCTGAGATTAATAGACCTGAGCTGAGATTGAGTCAGACACTTTACTGACTGAGCCACCCATGTGCCTCATTCTATTCCTATTTCATGTAGAAATTTAGTTTCTGTTCAGTCCACTGTCAATAGATGTTGAATTGAACAAAACTTGTTTAACAGTGTCCCTTCTAATATTAAGCTGAAATGAAAACCAAACTACATAAGCAAGTAAGCATTTATTTATATAGTTAAAGTCCAGCTTAAGCCTTTCTCCATGTCTCCACTGACCATTAAGCATATTTACAATCTTACTTATGGGACAGATGTGTTCTTCTAAATTTAGCTTTCTAAATTCACATCTGGCTCTCATCTACTATGCTGTAAACTCACAGATTTGTGACTGACTCAACTGTCCTCCTAGTACCTTCCAGAAGTCCCACCTTTTTGACCTAGTAAATGGTCAATAAAAGTGTGCTGATGGCTACAAGGCTACACTTGATCTGTATCTACACTACATCCATATTTGTATCTATACTACACTATATCTGTATATATCCTACTGACTTGGTTGTTCTAAGGAGAAATTTAGGCATGGACTCTGAGAGAATTGGAGTTAGAATTCTACTTCAGAGGCAGTAGGGACTCCTGAAGGTTCTATGGTCATGTAAAAGGAGGTATTTTTTTTAAAGTTAGTCTGTAAATATGAATATTTAAAGGAAGTATCTATGAGTATTTAAAGGAAGGAAAAACAATTGAATCAGAAATTTCACAGTTAACACACGGTATACATTATGAGTTGATTGGTAGTAATATACAACTATTAGGTGAGGAAAAGGGGCAGATGTAAAAAATACTGTGAAGGAATAACCACATGAGCTGGTAATTCACTGAATATAGATTAAGATTTTAAGTTCTGCTACTGCATGATTAGAACAGTTGTAGAGACTGAAATAAGTTCAGAAGAGGATCTTTTTTTTTTGAGAAAAAAATTATTTTAGATTAAATAATAATTGCAATGTCCCAGGCTTGCTCATGTGAATCAGTAATAAGGTTTGCTATATTGCTTTTTGCCTTTGGTTTTGCTCTAAAATCTGAGGCGTCCTCTGCATATTCATGTTTCAGAGAGATTAATTTAGGTGTCATAAGGCTTAAAACAGCATAAGGTACAGAGAGACTGTGTGGTTTAGTATAAAAATAGGCTATATATTCAGATAGAACTGAGTCCCATTTTGCTGTTTTTATTGTTGGTGTTGTTTTACCTTGCAACTGTAACTTTCCTTTGTCACTAAAATGTGTGTCATGATGCCACTTATAGATTGCTTGGGGAGAGGGTCAAGTGTTAAATGAGGCTACCTTTATAATATGCCTGGAACATGACTGGTGACTGTGATGTATATAAATTCGTAAAGAATGCCTCATTAATTTCCCAGCCTTGTCAAAATGACAACTATTTTATTCCTAATAAATATCATAAACATGTTTATCTGAAACTTGTTTTTTGAATATGTTTTGAGAATTTTTAATGGTAGAAAAATAGGGTTTTTGTTTTGTTTTTTTGTAGGCCCCTAAGAAAACCATGTTTACTTCTCCAAGACCAATGTCCAGTCTACATCCATATGAGCACATACTTTTACATGGCAGTAATAACAGCAAATCTTCTATTTTATGCCTCTTTAATTGTCTGCCGTATTATAAGCATTTTCAAGTGGTAATAACACTTTCATAATTATGGTTCAGCATGACTGCATAAAACAAAATAGAAATTTTACCTGAAAAGCAAGAAGTTGCTTGTGTATGAAGATAGAAGCATTGAAAAGCATCTACTGCTATATTTTACCATAAAAGCCTGGAGTAGAGCATCAGCTCTTTGTGTTTCTTATAGAATGATGAATTGAGTTTTCTGCAACCATAAACCATTAAGTGATTCCAACCACTTTAAGTGGACTGAAGGAAGAAAATTTTGCTAGCAGAGGTCACTACTGGGAATCAGCTTACTGCTGAGGCAGTAAGACTCTGACCCCTGCTCCTGATAACCTTGTGTTACCTTTAAATGCTCTCACACCCCCAATTAGCTCACTTTCTATTAAGCCTACTGAGGGAAAATGAATGTATATGTTTATTGGTCAAGTGTTTTTTTCCAACATATTGCCTACCCTCTGTCATCCTGAAACAAAAGGTTTTACATTTAACTTTAATACTCTTTAGTTCAGAGTAATGAGTAAATACTTGTTCCTTCCTGTAGAGGATCTGTGTATATCCTAAACCAGGGATGGGATGAAAGCAGTTTCATTTACAACTCCCTTAAGTGCTCCACTTCTCATCCACAGTCCCTCAAAGTCATGCTTTTTTTCAAAGCAAACTGGCAGAGCCCCTTCCTCCCTGGACGTACTGTGTTTTCTTGAGATATCAAAGTGTAAAATACGGTGTACTTGATATCTACAGGTGCTAGTATGAGTAAAACATAACTACTTATGTTCTGCTTTCTATAAATATCTGTTCAAATTGTAGTTGGAATTCTCTCCCAATTCACTCCATACAATCTTTCATCAGGAACTTGGTTCTTAATACTTTCACCACCTCCTTAGTCCTCAGTAGTCTACTAAAAAGACTTCTGTGGCAACTTTTTTTTTCACCACCAATGGTAAGATTACATCAAAGGGGGCAGTAGAGCATAATAGGAATTCAGGCTGTAGTCTAGAGTCAGACAGACCTGGGTTCAAATGTCGCTCCACCACTTTGAGCAAATGATTTAACCTCTCTAAGCCTCAGTCTCCTTATCTGCAAAGTAGAGATAATAGTATTTATCATAGGGTTGGCTGTGAACATTAAGTGAGATTATCAATGTAAAATGTTTAACACATTGCATGGAACATTTTAAACATCTAGTAAATCTTAACCTATTACAAGAATCAAAGAATGTAGGTAAAAGTTGCTGGGATAGAAAGGAGGGATGCTAAAAGGCAATTTTTATAATTTAGCCTAAGGTAGATCCTGCTTACCTTCAGATACAAGAGAACGAATAAAAACTATGCTTGGAGGTGTTGCAAGGGAAGAGACTATACTATTAGTCAAATTTGTTTAGTGATTACTAAGGCCAGGGAATAGAACAATGACTGAAATGTGACTCCTACCTTGAAGAGTCTTAAGAGTTTAATTTCTCTTTTAATAAAACTTCAGTAGTCACTGTTAATCTCATAAGGATATAGCAAAAATAAATGCGATATTCTGAAATAATACAGATCTCATTGTGGAACTGACGAAGAACCATAAGAAATCTGGCAGTCCTAAAGGCTTTTTAAGAAGTAAAAAGGATCACTGCTCGTAGAATATTACTGAGAATTGAGAAGTGTCAGAGATACCCTATCTTCATAAATATAATTTGAATGAAAATTACAGAGTGGTTGACTAAAAGCATTTCCAGTTCACGATTGGTTACCATTTTTCAAAGTCATCAAATCCCAACAAAAGTGAAATGTGCAAATAAATTATGATACTTATACCATATCATGATTAAAAATCAGATTTCCAAAGACTAATGACATGGGGAAGTGCTTTATGGTAGTGAAAAAAAGCAGGCCTAGACATAGTACGCTTCTAATTTTTTTTAAGTAGAAGATAGAAAAGTATATAGTATTACAAGATTATAGTAATCAAAAACACTATGGTATTTGCATAAAACTGACCCATAGAGAAATGGAACAGCATACAGAGCCCAGAAGTAAACTCAACGCATATAGGGTCAATTAATTTATGACAAAAGAGCCAACAAGTGGAACCAATAGCCTCTTCAATAAATGGTGTTGTAAAAACTGGACAGTATCATGCAAAAGAAATGAAGAGCGCTATCTTATACCATGCATAAAAAAAATCAACTCACAAAAGATTAAAGGCTTGGATTTAAGACCTGAAACCATAAAACTAGAACAAAGTGGGAAGACACTCATCTTGCCAATGGCTTTTTGGATTGGACATCAAAAATAAAGGTAACAAAGCAAAAATGAACAGTGGAATTACATCAAATTAAAAAACTTCTGTGTAGCAAAGAAAGCCATCAACAAAATGAAAAGGCAACCTATGGAATGGGAGAAAATATTTACTAATCATATATGATAAGGGGTTCATATCCAAATTATGTAAAAAAAAACTCCTACAGCTCAATAGGAAAAAATCCAATTAAAAAATGTACAGGGAAATGAACAGACATTTTTTCAAAGAAAACAAATAGCCAACAGTTACACAAAAAGGTGTTCAACATCACCAATTATCAGGGAAATGCAAATCAAAACCACAATGAGGTGTCATTTTATACTTATTAGAATGGCTATTATCAAAAAGATAAATAATAAGTGTTAGTGAGGACTTGGAGAAAAAAAGGAACCCTTGTACACTATTGGTGGTAATGTAAGTTGCTGCAGCCACTGTGGAAAAACAATATGGAGGTTCCTCAAAAAATTAAAGATAGAACTACTATATGATCCAGCAATTCTGTATCTGGTATCTATCCTAAAGAACAAATTCACTATGTCAAAAAGGTATCTGCACCCCTTTGTTCATTGTAGCATTTACAATAGTCAAAACATGGAACAATGTTAAGTGTTCATCAACTGATGAATGGATAAAGAAAATGTGGGAAAAAAAAAAGAAAATGTGGGGTGTTTGCGTAAGCGTGTGTGTACAGACTATCATTCAGCTATATAATATCACAGGAATGGAGTATCAGTCAAAAATAAGGAAATCCTGCCATCTGTGACAACACGGATGATCTTGAGGGCATTATGCTAAGTGAAATACTTTAGACAGAAAAATAAAAATACTGTGTAACCTTACTTATATGTGGAATCTAAAAACAAAACAAGACAGAAAAAAATCCTCACAGATACAGAGAGCAGACTGGTGTTTGCCAGAGGCGGGGATACACAGTGGGCAAAATGGGTGAAGGTGATCAAAAGATACAAACTTCCAGTTATAAATCAGTCCTGGGGTGCAATGAACAACATGGTGACTATAGTTCACAATACTGTATTGTATATTTGAAGGTTGTGAAGAATATATCTTAAATGTTCCCATCACATAAAAATATATGTGGTGAGAGATGTTAACTTACTGTGGTAACAATTACACAATGTATCAAATCATTATGTTGTACATCTAAAACTAATACAATGTTATATGTCAATTATATCTGAATTTTTAAAAAGTGTATATAATAAAACCAGTAGTTAATCACTGATAAAACTGGGGAGATTAGTATATTTATTTTCTTTTTTGAAATGTCTATTGAATAAAATATTTCAAAGAAAATGATTCAGGCTCTTCACATGCTTAATACTTTAAAATACTTGAAACCCATGGTATATTAGGTTTCAGTTTAACATAAGTCACACTAAAAATCTTTTAGTTTAGTTAAGCTACCATAAAACCAGGTACTGACACAAGACAAATAGTAACTGAAAACTTTCGATACTAATTTAACTCATATTGTTCTAGTATATAAAATTAGTATGTACCCCTGCCTGTAAGGACTTACTACAGTTCAATAAATAACTCAGATTTAATAGCTTGCATAAATCTAATTGCTACATATTACTAAATCATACCTTGAGAATAGCTATGAGCTTGAGAACGATCAACTACTATGTCCATGGAGTTATGTGATTCCTGAGAATGTTTCTCCATCACCTCTACTGTATCACTGGATGAAGATGATGAAGACAATCCCAGTCTAACATATCTTCCTTTTTTACCACAGAGTGAACAATCTACTGGTGTGGCACTAGGTCCCCGGGGCAGTTGAACTTCATCTCTGTTGTAGTTTCTAACAGCTCCACTGTGATGCACAGAACGTTCCCGTTGCCATATATAATGAGTTGGAGCAATAGCCATAACCTATGGTGGAAAGCTTTCTTTTAGAATTTTCATAAGATTTTAAAATTTGGTAAGATTAAGTAAAAGAATTATGACTCACAGACCGCTATTTCTAAAACTAGACCTAAAAACCTAAGTTACTGATGTTTAAAAAAAAGTAGGCCTCTCCAGATAAGACAGTATTACCTATAAAGTGATTCACTGCTTGGATTCTTAAGATAATAACTAACAAAGTACTGAAATTACTTCAAATATTTCAACCTTCCAAGTTTTTCAATTCAGAATATTCTAAGTTTGGGATAGATAACACAATTAGTCCAAAACAACACATAATTCTTAACTTTGGAATGTACTGGGTTGAAAATAACATTGTTGAGGTTTCTTTCTTTTTTTTTTTTAAAGACTTTATTTATTTATTCATAGAGACACACAGAGAGAGAGAGAGAGGGAGGCAGAAACACAGGCAGAGGGAGAAATAGGCACCATGCAGAGAGCCCGAAGTGGGACTCCACCCAGGGTCTCCAGGATCACGCCCTGGGCTGCAGGCGGCACCAAACTGCTGCGCCACCCGGGCTGCCCCATTGTTGAGGTTTCTAACTATGTTGTTAGGCTAATTTTAACATGCTTGCAATTATGGCAAGGGAAGTGGTGAGTAAGAAGATGGGTAAATTACCTAACCTCTCTGTGCCTCAGTTTCCTTATCTGTAATATGAAGAGAATAATAGAGTCTCCTTTAGAGGATTTTGCAAGGATTAGATGAGGAATTAATTATAAAACACTTAAGATTGTTGGGCATTGTTCTCGAAGGTTAAATAAAATACTTCCTTTGGAGTCAGGATAGACTTAGTTTTTTATTTTTTTAACCTGGCTCTGCCACTTGCTAGCTGTATGATATTGGGCAACTTAACCTTTCTGAGGCTTAACTTCCTCATATTTAAAATGGGGATATTATCTGCATCATAGGAGGGTTAGATATGTATAAAATCCTTATCACAAAGTAAGCAGATGATAGTCATTGAAGAAGTCAAAGTAGGGAAATAAACCTACATATGTTAACCCTATGATGTCTAAAATTTCTAAGCAGTGTTGGAATATTGCTTCAAAGCAAAAAATGTTTAGTTGCAGTTATCAATGACCAAAGTAAATAAGAATTATAGAATTTGAGAGTTAAGCTTAACTCGTTTAATGCTTAAACGAATGATTTTCAACTTGTTTCAGGAGCTCTGTGTTTTCATAGATTATATTAGGTGTCCCAGAATGGGATATGGGAAGACCAATCAAGAAAAGAACCTCAATTTAGGGGATTATGTATAAAATTTTGCTTGGAAAGATACTTTTGTGGTTAAAAATGAAAACTTAAAAACCCCCAGACTGAGACCAGTCCACTTAGAAAACAGGGAACCTATGGCTTCCTCCAAAATGATATAAAGAATGCTAGCTATGCTAATTTTTTAAAGTATATTTTAGGATTGAATTTATTTTATAATCCACCTTTTAAATTCTCCAAAAAGGGATCCCTGGGTGGCGCAGCGGTTTGGCGCCTGCCTTTGGCCCAGGGCGCGATCCTGGAGACCCGCGATCGAATCCCACATCGGGCTCCCGGTGCATGGAGACTGCTTCTCCCTCTGCCTGTGTCTCTGCCTCTCTCTCTCTCTCTCTCTCTCTCTCTGTGACTATCATAAATAAATTTTTAAAAAAATTATTTAAAAATAAATAACTTCTCCAAAAAAGTTTTCAACAAACATGTAATAAAGTTACATATCTTCTAAAAAGTAGATGTAAAGATATTAATTCTAACAATAAATATTTTCATAACAATGTAAAACTAGGTTCAGAGCTATGTAAAGTGAGGAAGTAGAATACAGAATTTCTTATTCCTTCCATATTTTTCTATTTCTTCCTCAACATTTGTACATCCTTATTTCCATTTCTGGAATGTCCTCTCCCTTTTGTCTTGGTATTGCTTTTCCTTCAGTGCTGAGCATAAGTCCCACCTTTCTAAAACTCCAGTTTTTAGATTGTACTGTTTTATTTTTAATGCTACGTAAGGACTTTTAGCATGTGTCTAAAACTCAGATATATCTCTTTTTATGAATGCAATCTATTGAAAACTCTGTGCAGGAATATTCTCTCATATGCCTCTCTATCAAATGCCTTCCACACAATATTATGTAGTAACTGTATATTTCCTATTGATAGATAAAAATAATTAAGAATTAGAGGCCACTGACATTATAAACTTCCAACAACATGATTTTTTTAAGGATCCTGTAGCAAATTCTAGTGAGAAGATCAGAGAAAAATAGGAAGCAAAAGGCACCAGATAGGTTTAGTAAACTGTTCTTTCTACAACAAACTAGCATCAGTCTCTCTACATACAAACCCAGCTAGAAAAACGCACGCACACATACTTGTGTACTTTTAAATATGTTTGCACATATTTTACAGATATTATTAGAATGTTATTGTGATAACAACAGAGAATTACAAAAATTGTAAGAGGGTCAAGGAAGCAGGATTTTGGTCTTCTATTAGTTCTATGACCTTGGGCAAATTACATAACCTTTTGGGCTACAAGGTATCTTTTGCATATGAGAAAACAGGTCATTTACAGTCCTCAAACTCTATGACTTATGAAAGTAACTTCTTTGAAGCATTAGTAGCACTTGATCTACTAGAAATATTATGCTACATTTTATTTTACTCGTCATTTTTAGTGATTTTTTTTGGTGCCTTTGATGGGTATCCCAAAATTTAATACTTGGCCCTATTTTTCTCTATATATTCTACTTCTCTGTGATCTCGAGATAGTATAGAGTAGGTATTAAAAACAAGGACCCTGGAATCAGACTTCCTAGGTTGAATACTAGCGTGCTGCTTGACTAATTCTGTGACCTTAGAGAAGTTATTTAGCCTTTTTGTGCCTGTTTCCTCTTCTGGGATTACCTAGCTAGCTATAAGAACTGTTGTGAGAGTTAACACATATGCAGTACTTAGAACAGTGCCTGACAAGTGTCCCAAAAGTATTAACATTACGTTCACCTTGACTCTTATCTACTCTACCAAGCTTTAAATATCACTTGCATATGATGACTCATTTTATACTCATGCCTCACTTAATTATCCAAATATACCTTAAATTCATGTCTTATACCAAATTACTTATTTTTCCAATAAATCAGTTTGTTTCTTTAGTGTTTCCTATTTCCATTATGGAACACATTACCCTTTCTGTTCTATAGATTTGAAACTCTGAAAGCTCACTCTCCCATACGCCCTATGTCCAACTGGTCACCAAATAGTGACAACTATAATTTTATGACATTGACTTTTCTTTGGCATTGCTATCTTCAGCACTGTTTACACCTTCCTTCTGAACTATAGGAAGTTTAACACTTTCCAGTACCTTCCCTATTTGGGTCTCTGCTGCATTTAGTCATTGGATTGTTTTGTCCAAAACTGTTTATGTCACATCTCTGCTTTCTAAATTCTAATCTGGAATCAAGTAGTAGCTGACAGACAAATCAGCTATGATGATACTGTGCCATCTAGGCCAGAGTACATAACAAGAACAGAGAAAAGCTTCCTTTTGATAAAATTGCTACCATCATGTATAAAGGGACTGGAATTGGAGTCTAACTCTTTCTCATCAGATTGGTATTTTCCATAATCTGTAAAACAATCTAGAAATTAAGTTATCAACCTAAATAAATTCCACCTCAGAGGAGCTGATATCCAAAAAAGGTAAACTCATTATAAGATAGTAAGATCAGAATAAATACGGAAATTGTCTTTACTCTTTTCTAGAGAAGCTCTGTATTTTTCAATATAATCATACCTCATCTCTTTCCAAAAAAGGACTTGAGGCAGCTGACAAAAAGTAAAAACAACAACAAAAATTTTCTAGGATCCAGAAGGGAAAATTAGGCTAAAGGAAGAAAGCACACAGGCTGGTAGTAAAAGGTGATATAATTAATGTAGTTAGGGATAAAACTTGGCTCTTAGTTTCTTTGCAGCAACCAAGGTTAAAAAAAGAGACAAATTTTTAAAATTCATACTATCTGAAAGGAGAGAGTAAGTTTTTTGACAGTAGTATGTAATGGAAAGAGTGCCAAGTTTAAGAACTAGCTGGTTCTACCATTTATTAACGACCATGGACAAGTTACAACCCTTCAAAGCCCCAGTTTGTCAGAAAAATGGACAAAATACTTATGCTATTTAATTCCTTTTTAAAATGCTTTTTAATTCCTGAGATAAAATAACATAACAGATATAAATTTGATTTCCAAATTAACCAATATAACCAGTGGAAGGTAGCTGTCAGAGAAAACAGAAAACACTGGGAAGTTATTAGATATGAAGTTCTGGGTTTAACACTTAATTGATGTATGGTCTTGAGTAAACCTCAATCTCCTTGGTTCTCAGTTTCATCAGATGTAAAATGAAAATTCTACAACCCTCATAGGTACTTTTATTGAGGATAAGATAATTTATATGAAAATATTTATGAATTTGTTAGAGCATAATGCAAATGTAAAGTATTATTGTAAACCAACTTGTAAATGCTATCATAACTTGGGTTTACTCTAGGATGAGACTAAAGAAATGGACTTGTCAATACTGGGTTCTCAATAACAAATGCATAGAATATTTAACTAAATTTCTAACATGTTTTGCCACTTAAATGCATCAAACTTCAGGGCAAGGATAATATAATCACTTCTTTATAACAACCCCCATAGCATTGAAGTTAAATGTCTTACTCATAAGTTAGCTATTGAATGAATAGTTAACAGAATAAAGTCTAGATAATTTCTGTTCCTATATACCACCATGATTCAACTGTTCCTGGCTGCAACAGTCCTAAGAAAGACTATCTATGTCCTCCTATTGTAAAAGGCAGTGCCAAGTCAGCTCAGTAAAGAAATCTTATAGTTTATTCTTTTTCTACTACATAGATAAGAAGGTATGAAAAAAAAATCGCAAGCTTTAAGTTCCATTCACTTTGTCAGTCAGCAGTA